CTTTCGAGTTTTCAGTTCATCGTTCACCGGTAGGGGGTCCTGCATGCTCTGGGCATTACTGACTCAAATGAACGAAATTAGTCAAAATGTGTTCTTTTGACTGAACGAGTCAAACATCAGTCAGTAAACAGAGACTAACTTCTCATCTCTAAGTGCAGTGTGTTACAGAGTGCGTGTGTGCATGTGTGTGTGTGTCACAGGCGTCCGGTGGAACCTTAATTGGGGAGAACGGGCTTATAGTAATGGCTGGAACGGAATCAATGGAATGTTATCGAACACATCAACCACATGGTTTCCATGTGTTTGATACCATTCCATTCACGCAATTCCAGCCATTATTATGAGCCGTCCTCCCCTCAGCAGCCTCCTGTGGTGTGTGAGTGTGTGTGAGGGAAAGAGGGCATATCTACATACCTACATATCAATAGTAATACCCCACAACTGAACCAGGCTTGATGCACAAACATTATACTGTTTTGATTGCACAAAGGGCTTGGTAATCAAACTCCATAGAATCAATAATTGTTCTAGATGAACAGATCTCTGAGGTGTCATTAAGAAAACTAACTCTGCAGTACAATACCTGCTGCTCACCACATGTTACCGAACGGGGAAACCACTGAATATGAATGAGGGTTTGTTCTGGCTCCTGCCTTAGATATAGCTAGATATAGCTGGCTGGCTGGTTTGAGTAATTAGTGGGAGCTGGGTTCCTGTGGAGCAGAAAACCTGTTGTTTCTCCCACTGTGCATGCTAGGATGATGAATAGTAGGGTAGAACCATGAGCTACACTGGCTCAGGCTCTCAGTGGTAATGCTATGAGATAATAAGCCACAGTCTCTGCAGCCACTGACAAACTGTAAAATGAGATCACAGAAGGTCAGCGCAGTGCCGTATGTATGTGATAGTTGGGTAATTTGTCATAGGTAGGCATAGCTAAACGATTGCAGATGTTAAACATGAAGGCTTTATAGCAGATTTGATTTCCTTTTTTTTATGGCAAGTACACTATATATTCAATATCTTACTACAACGTGACCTCTTACCTAGTTCTGGACTATAAATCAATGCCAGTATCTTGTCTGTAACCTGCCAGTACTCCATTTCTCCCTCCCTCAGCATGCAGTCCAATAGTTTTAGTTAAACGCTCTCCCAGATACTGAGATAATATGCTGGGCAGCTGTGCGACGAATAAAGCCCTCAAGATATGCATCATGTCTTGAATAAGGCAATGTGGCCCAGCGGGATGTGAAACAATGGCTTATTCCAGGTGACAGTGTGCTGAGAGGGAGTGAGGGGAATTGCATATGACGGGAAGCGCGTCTGGCAGCTCTCCACCATGGAAACACTGACAGGCAGGCTCGCCTGTCACAGTGCATAAGTGGCTCCCTGCACAGACGTTTACAGTAGAGCACCTTTTCTCTACCCACAGTGCTGCAGGGCAGGTCCAGCCCCCAGGGCTGCATTCACTAGCCCCAGTCCCCATACATAGCCCCTATACCTTCTCCTAGCCCCAGACCTCCTACCTAGCTCCAGCCCTATACATTGCCCAAGCCCTCAGCTCCACATCTAGGCCCAGCCCCAACCTTATTTCCATGCCCACCCTTAGCTACCTAGCCCCAGCCCTATTCCCTTCCCTGGCCAGATATGTTAGCTTTAGGACAGTCCAGGTATCACTCCCTTTAGACTGCAGTGGGAAGACATCATTAGAGAGTGGAGGGTGGCTAGTAGTGGCACTGTGGGAACAGACAACCCTCTGGGAGGTGGCGGGAACAGATTTGTCCGCTGTTTAGGGAGTGGAGGGCTTTATCCAGAGTGAGCTGTGGATGATGTTGTTCTTTAACAATCACTTTCTGCTTATTCAATCATGGCCATGGTAGTGGTTGATTTTAATATTGGGCAACAGTGAAGTGGGTTGAATAAAGTAATATTCAGTCAACAACCCTGCTGAAAAAATTAACTGTATAGACCAGCATAAATGTCTAACTGGTCCAGGCTGGTCAGTACTGGTTGGATGCTGGTCAAGCTGGTCTGACCAGCATGGTTTAGCTGGTTAGGCTGGCTGACTAGCTGGTCAAGCTAGTGATGCTGGTGACCAGCCTTCGCTGACCAGCTTATGCTGGGGACCAAGCTGGTCCATGCTGGTCCAGCATGGTCTAGCTGATCAAGGTGGTCTGACCAGCATGGTCTAGCTGGTTAGGTTGGCCGACTAGCTGGTCAAGCTGTTGATGCTGGTGACCAGCGTTCGCTGTGTTTTTGCTGGTGCCTCCACTGTGTTTCTGCTGGTGACCAGCTTATGCAGGTGATGCTGGTGACCAAGCTGGTCCATGCTGGTCTATGCTAGTCCAGCATGGTCAAGCTGTTCTACAAAACCATGCCCAGGTAGCCCAGCGGTAAAAAGCGTTGAGCCAGTAACCGTAAGGTCACTGGTCGAATCCCCGAGCTGACTAGGTGAAAAATCTACCTGTGCCTTTTGAGCAAGTCACTTGCTCCTGTAAGTCGCTCTGAATAAGAGCGTCTGCTAAATGTCTTAAATGTATATCATTATCATCAGCATGCTCTGTTGCCGCTTTCTTTTTAGAATAGTTTGTTTTCAATATATTTTTTGTTGTGTTTTTGCATATACATTGATTGATTAATTAATCTTATCTTTGTAACCTTTATTTTGACTAGGCAAGTCCGTTAAGAACAAATTCTTATTTACAATGACGACCTACCCGAGACGACGCTGGGCCGATTGTGCGCTGCCCTATGGGACTCCCAATCACAGCCGGATTGTGATACAGCCTGGAATCAAACCAGGGTCTGTAGTGACTCCTCTAGCACTGAGATGCAGTGCCTTAGACCGCTGCGCCACTCGGGAGCCCATAGATGTTTCTAAACTAATCTGTTAGTTGGACTTATTGCACCCATTACTGAAATGGCTGTTCCAGTTTAGATGGTTTAGGTAGTGTCATTTATTAATCTTTCTAACCCTGGCAGTCATTCTGAATGCAGATTGTGGGAGAATACAAGTTCCAATTCTTGGATATCCCCACTCTGACTGGATTCCAATAGGAATAAAACATCACTTTGCAAGCTGACTTGATGCTAGTTTTGCTGGTGACCAGCATGGCTGGTATGCTGGTGACCAGCTTACTTACCAGTGTCCAAAACACAGCGAAGGCTGGTCACCAGTGTCCTAATCTCGGTTAACACATTTACATTTACATTTTCGTCATTTAGCAGACGCTCTTATCCAGAGCGACTTACAAATTAGTGCATTCACCTTATGATAGCCAGTGGGACAACCACTTTACAATATATATATATTTATTATTATATATATTTATTATATATATATATATGTATATGTATGTATTATTTAAAAAAAATTGGGGGGGGGGGGTAGGGGGAGGGTAGAAGGATTACTTTTATCCTATCCCAGGTATTCCTTAAAGAGGTGGGGTTTCAAGTGTCTCCGGAAGGTGGTGAGTGACTCCGCTGTCCTGGCGTCGTGAGGGTGCTTGTTCCACCATTGGGGTGCCAGAGCAGCGAACACAGAACTAAAGTATTATGTAAGTGGTCACATGCTCGATTTAATTTCTGGGTCCATACGTGTTAAGAGAAGAGAGAATGAGGATCTGAACTGGAACGAAGAGCTCCATCCTCTCTCTTTGTTAGTTACGGGCAAGTCTATGGACCAAATGTTCCCTCCCCTTCTGAAATTCGAAAGATGCTAACACCTGCGAAATTGTGATTTGTCCAAATAACCAGTGACGAAAAAACCAAACACCGGAACTAATACTGCTCGATCTCACGCATCCTATTGTATCATGACAGATCTATGGTACCATTTATGTTTACGTAGTCTGTCCACGAGGGATTACCAGTGTCCATAACACAGCGAAGGCTGGTCACCAGCAAAAACACGGACAAGGCTGGTCACCAGAAAAAACACGGCGAAGGCTGGTCACCAGCAGAAACACGGCAAACCAGCACTAGTTTCCAGCATATGCGGGTGACCAGCATGACCAGGCTATGCTGTTCTATGCTGTTTTTTACAGCAGGGAAGCCTGTTGTCAGGCGGCTAATGATTCTGTGAGTTTGTTTAGAGAGCCTTAACATGACCTTTGGTGTTATTTGATGTTTATGCAGCAGAGCAGTTGTTTTGACTGGCATGGAGGAAACGACCTCTCCCTTAGTTTATTTTCCTGATGAAAGTATTTGGGAAGACTTTTAAGGTCAGTAGGATTCAAATGTTGTGGCTGTTCAGTCTATCCAGTATTTTAAATCCTAGTCGTCCTGTCCTAGTCCTCCCGTCACTTGGCCTTGCTGTTGATCCAGAACAGAAAACTCCTCTTATTTCTACAGTCACACTTGGTCCTTTCACCTACCCCTGCTGTCTTGATTGAAATGTTCCAGGGTGAATGTTAAGTATATTGATTTGAGTGAGGATTATGACCCGGTAAAACCAGATGAAGTAGTGTGGCCTCTGTGTTTTGGCCCAGAGCCAGGCACTTGCATATCTCAGCCACTATCTAAATATTTTTCAGCGAGTGAAATTACACCATATAATTAACCTAAATGACTCCTGATATGCAAAGGAGAGATCTGAGGGGGAGATGGAAGGAAAAATGAGAAACACAGAGTGAGATGAATAATGATAACCAAAAGAGAGGAAACACTTAAGACAGACTTGCATTCTATTAATTACTGGAAAGCTTTGTCAGGTAAAAGAAAGTGCCTTGGGCCTATGCTAGCTTTTCATGATAATCAGATGGGAAGACCTAAGTCCATACATTTTTTTCTTGTCTTCTGTCTCTACAGATGTGCTCTGGACTGGCTGTGATTTCTCCTCCTCCTCATGCTCAATGGCAGACGAAGACCACCACTCCCTGCTCCGTTCATGTGAGCTTTGATTGCAAAGAGATGGCTCTGATCCACAGCTAAACCTGATCCACTGCTCTCCTGTCTCTGACCATCTTCTCTCCTCTATTTCTCTCCTCGTCACCCTCACCATGGCCTGCTTGTTGGTGTCAGTGTTCCTCCTGGTTCTCCAGACTTATGCTGCCCCATCAGAGTTTGTTCAGAGTCTGGATCTGGGCCCTGGACTCACTTCCAATGTCACTCTGTCTCCACCCCCGGGGACTAGCAAACATGCCCCCCACAGCATTATCATTGGGGTGCGCAAGGGGGGGACACGTGCCCTGCTGGAGATGCTAGATATCCACCCTGAGGTCGCTGCCGCCGCCACAGAGGTGCACTTCTTCGACTGGGACGAGAACTACGCCAAGGGCTTTGACTGGTACCGTGAGCTGATGCCCTATTCCTACCCGCACCAGATCACAGTGGAGAAGACGCCAGGCTATTTCACCTCTTCCTTGGCGCCAGAACGCATCCGTGCCATGAACTCCTCCATCAAGCTACTGCTGATCCTGCGGGACCCGACTGAACGCGTAATCTCAGACTACACCCAGGTCTACTTCAACCGCCTGGAGAACCACAAGCCAGTGCAGGCCATTGAGAACCTGCTGGTGCGCAGCGGAGCTCTCAACACCCGCTACAAGGCCATCCAGCGTAGCTTCTACGACGTGCACATACGTAACTGGCTGCGCCACTTCCCACTGGAGCAGATCCACATCGTTGATGGGGACACTTTGATCCGGGACCCCCTTCCTGAGCTGAAGAAAGTGGAGCGTTTCCTCAATCTGCCCCCCAGGATAATGTCGTCCAACTTTTACTTCAACCAGACCAAGGGGTTCTACTGCATCCGGAGTGAGGGGCGAGAACGCTGCCTGCATGAGTCCAAAGGGCGTCCCCACCCGGCCGTCAATGGTACCGTGCTGCAGCAGCTACGCTCCTACCTCAGGGAGCACAACCGTAACTTCTACCGGCTGGTGAAGCGCTCCTTTGACTGGCAGTAAGGCTGTTCACCCCTCTTCCCATGTGGACTAGTTCCCCCTGGCCCACAGAAGACTTAGGAACCCCTGCCCTGTTTAAGGACTGACTGACCAGTGTTATAGGGGCAAAAGCACTTTAAGAACTCTGACACCCAAACACTCCTGTCAATTGCCTTTTACTCTGCTCTGGTGTCAGCAGAGCAGTTCCACATTTCCAAAATAAAGCAAGAACTTAAAATATAAGCTAACATGGAAAAATCAGCAAGCTTGATAAGTCATTCTCTGTACTGTACCTAACAAAAGTGAAGTGATGCAGATTGCGGCAAAACAATTTTGTGAACCTGATGAACTTTTTTTCTTCTTTGTTTGATATTCTTGTACTTGATAATAAATTGTTCTGCTTTAAAAATGTACATGTGGAGCGGGATCTTTTTCTCCCTTGGTTCTTTGTGCTGCCCTCCAGATCCTAACCGGAGTTGTTTAGGGAGCATGCTAAGGTAGACTGAGGCATTAGGATAAGCCTTTGATTCACCGCAGTGGAAGAAGGACATTAATGCAGGGAAATGGTTGCCCTAAGCGCCACTTTAGTATTACAGAAATCACTAATGGTTTGGACATTGAAAATAGTGCCTGCAGCAAAAGGGGTCGAATCACAAGAGTCAGCAAGCTGAAGTCAGAGCTCTTCCTGTATTTTAGCACTGTTAAGTGTTCAGCAGTTTGAACAGGCTGTAGAGGCAGTCAGTAAATAATATGAGCATTGTAGCAGTTCTCACTGGAGTTGTGTGATTATTCAATATAAACAGCAGAGTAGCATATTACTATTTACATCACGGTTATTATCCTCATTGATTAGACTTTAAAGAGGAGCCAAAGCTAGGGAGACCACTGATGCTTATGTGATCCCCCTTCTGTCTGCTGGCTCTGACAGAGGCTGAATAAGCGCTCCCACCCCCAGGGGGAACAGACATCGATGCTGGTGGCTTTATCCCTGGCCAGCTGGAATAAGGGGTGTGTTGGTCTGTCCAAACTAAAATATGAAGCAATGTTTTTGCACTCAATCTTACCATCTCACATTTACTGATACTTTGTGTTTTATTGATATGTCATTAGTGTATTCAACTGTCTTAGAGGAGCTGGTAGTGTTTCAAAAGTAATTTGTTATTGCAGTAAGATACCCAGGGATGTTATTACCGTTTGTCTTCACTAGGGGGCATATAGGCCCTTCAGGAATAATAGGTGATGTGTCTGGACATGCACTTTCAAGGGTACCCCTTGTCAGTGCGTGCAGGTGAAGAGGCTGTGACAGGGACTCTGTGACCCTTGCCAAGGCCTCGCTGGGGCCTGCCCCATCCTGTGTGTTTCATGTGCCTGGTTACCTGGAAGAAAACACCCGGTCCTGCCTCACAAGGAGGCCCTGTCCAGGTCACAGAGCCATCTCAGCCGTGTGTGTACGTGCTTCCAGCCCGCCAAGCGCCCACCCACCATCCCCATGTCTGACTGTAGACACACTCCTGGTGTGTCACACTTTGAGTAAGTTTGAGTAAATTATAGATCTACAAATTGTTAGATTTACAGTCACCATGTTCTTTCAGTTAATTAAATACCCTTTAGTTGCCATATGTTGCTTAAACAGTTTAAATGGTTTTCATTACTCATTTGCATGCTTGTAACAGGGAAAGGCATTTTACAGGATTTCTAAGACAAACTCACTGCCACATCAATCAATAACCTTGTCTGGAATCTATTTCTCGATCAACTGATACTCCAGAGTCTAGACCGCTGCTTGACCAGATCACAGCAGTGACCATCTGCACTGGACTCAAAGCTCATATCAGGACAAAGCTGGCAAATGGCACAACAATTATTTTAAATGCAGTCATGTCTGAGTGATATTCAGCTGTATAAATCGCTCGGCTTGTTCATGTGTTGCAACAACAATGTCACCAGAGGCAAGGAGGACAGTCAATTGTTGCATGTTGGGTAGAATGCAAACAGCCTTGAGGGAGTGATGTTCAACACAGAGACGTCAATTCCCTGTAGATCATCACCATAAATGACCTCTTTCTCATGCAATTTCATTGAGAAATGAACAATGAATGGACATGAAACCAGAGCTGAAGCTTCCATTAACAGCAGCCAAATGACTCCCAGATCTCCCAGAAAACACACATACTTATTTATTGTAGGTATCCTCCCAGCTAACAAACACACACACAACTTTAGAGAACATTCCCTTAAGTATCATTATGTCATTAATTCATGTTTCCATAAGCCCATTCCCTTAATGTCAAATAGAACTTACCCAGAATGTGGTTATGTTCTCAGCACTTAAGATATTAATGTTCTAGACACGTTTCATGGGAACATTGCAAGAACATTAATGTGTCCAGTTTTCTGTGCGTTAGGAGAATATTCCATCAACTTCCTACCAAACATACTCGTAACATGGTTGTTCTCACAATATAAGATATTAATGTTTTAGACACATTTCATGAGAATGTTGCAAGAACATTCCTGTGTCTAGTTTTCTGAGGGTTAGGAGAAAATTCCATCAATATCCAAAATAGGGGAGGGTTGTAAAACTTAATTTTTTGCTTTGGGGAGGGTTGTGTGTATTTTTTTTTATTGGGCACGGGAGGGTAGTGCGTTTTTTTCCATGGTTTATGTTCGCTCTTTTGCTGGTTTCACTATATAATTTCTTCCATCCTAGACACATTTCCTCATCTGCTTTCATGCGCCTCCCCTATATCAAGGTGTTTTGGTACTTCCCTTATGCACTACGCTTTTCCGTGTGCTAACTTTTTACTATACCACAGGTCAATATAGTCTACCAGTCTGTCTGTCCGGCCCTCTATCCACCAGTCATAGTGACAATAGTAGTAGGTGGATTGTTTGTCCAGATCTGCAATAGGCTAACTAGCAATCATACCACACATAAAAGCATTCAAAGCTGCATACATTTTCAATATGACTTCACAAGAACAAATCGAAATAGGCTAACTGATAGGCAATTGAGAGTCCAGATGCGTCATTGCGCATGAAATAACAGTGAAGACATGACACACGCATCTCAGAAAGCTCCCCTATTGATCTTGTTTAGGGACAATATAATTATCCTACCTAGACTAGCCCACAACACCACAATGCAATTAATAATTGCATTATTGTTTAAGGGAGTGCAAAATTCTGCTCTAGGCTGCAGTGAAAATGTCATTTGAATAACGGCCCAAAAGCCCTGTGATTTCAATGTTTCATTCTATTTGGATCAGTTGTGGGCGTACTCGCCAGTTTTTATAAGGTCTAGAAAGGCACAGTAGCAGGCCAGTCTGGCTGTATTTTTACTTTGGATACTGAGATGTGCTGTCTGTTGTGTTCCTGGGCAGGCCCAGTTATTCTAGAAAGCTTATTGCATTCTCTGCTCTGCCTCCTCTCCAATCCGAGCGGCTATTCCTTGCGCACCTTGAACCTAACACTTCAATATAGCCTATCTACTGTATGTGTCACTTAACTTTTAAAATGTATTACGTTTTATTTGGGTCATAAGCACAGCCAGTCACAATGTGTTATTCTGATTAGGCTACTTCAAAAGGCTCCTGTAGGCATGCGCACTTTGTCCAAAATATAATTCTAGCATCTTCAAAATGGCTTGACATTGACACCCTAAAGTGCGCTAGTCCAGTGTCACTTTGATTATGCCTGCACGTCATGGTGTTTCCACAAACATCTAAAGATTAAGCTACAGACCAGCCAAAACATTATTTTAAGCAGCTAGGCTGGCTATCTGTGGGAAAAAAGAGTAGTATTAATTCAACTTGTTCTGGTCCACAGAATTATCACAGACTCAGCCCCCAGGTACCTACCAACTATTTTTCATTTGTTAGCGATGTCCACCAGCATAGTACCAGCCCCAGATACTCTAATATTCACTGTTTTAAATATATGAGTCTATTTGGTCAAAACAAATTGTTATATTCAGGCGCTTTTGAGTGGTACAAACTACCACAGCAACTCAAAGCCCTACCAACCATAACCACTTTTAAAAAGAATGTCAAAAGCTGGCTAATGAGTGAATGTTATAACCTTTTTTTGCCTGTATCTCTGTAATGTGTCTGTATCTATGTAATTGTATATGTATTTATGTACAAATAGAGACCACAATGGAAATAAGTCCCCGACTTTTAGTGCTGAGCGATTAACCAACATTTCGTTTTTTTTTCTTCTTCAGTTATTAAACAACTAATTGACTGACTTCGGATCAATTACTTAAATTCCATTTGGTTAGTTTTTTTGTGAGCCCAATGCGCTGTTTCTCTAGAGAGAAATCAAATCATTCATGAGATAAATCCTGTTGACCTATGTGGGATGCTGGGCTGAAGGGAATTGTAATTTTCGTTAAGCAACTATTCAACCTAGTTCAGCGTAAGAACGTGGTAATTAACTACAATGACCATAATCTATTGCGCCTGTTTTTTCCTGCTCCGACCGATGGATGCACTTTTACGCCTGCTAAGAATGCAAGAGTAGGGTGACTCGCCTAGGGTCTCGAACAGGCCACCAGCACCAATGATGAACACCCACTGTCCAAATAAGGGATATCTCTAGGGCAGGGGTATTAAACACTTACCCTACAAGGTCTGGAGCTTGCTGGTTTTCTGTTCTACAGTGAGGGGAAAAAAGTATTTGATCCCCTGCTTATTTTGTACGTTTGCCCACTGACAAAGAAATGATCAGTCTATAATTTTAATGTTAGGTTTATTTGAACAGTGAGAGACAGAATAACAACAACAAAATCCAGAAAAACGCATGTCAAAAATGTTATACATTGATTTGCATTTTAATGAGGGAAATAAGTATTTGACCCCTCTGTAAAACATTACTTAGTACTTGGCGGCAAAACCCTTGTTGGCAATCACAGAGGTCAGACATTTCTTGTAGTTGGCCACCAGGTTTGCACACATCTCAGGAGGGATTTTGTCCCACTCCTCTTTGCAGATCTTCTCCAAGTCATTAAGGTTTCGAGGCTG